GAACAAGTAATCTGATGTCCTGTAATCATTATGATGCTATAATTTGAGATACAAGAAATAAAATAAGTTTTTGTACAAAGTATCGGTATCGGATCAGTATCGTCGATACCACCCTGAATATTACTTGGTATCGGATCGGAAAGGAAATCAGTGGTATCGCACATCACTAGTGGTGATGAAGGAAAACGCTGGGTTGGCATGTAAAAGGGCATTTATTCCCTTCAAAGACCTGCAGTTCAAAAAAAGCGCCCCTCCGACAGCCAAACCCATCTGTTCTCTGATTGGATTGTTACATTTGTGATTGACATGACATTGACCAATCAGATGAAAGGAAGAAAAATTGGGTCAAAATTCGTACTTGTAACTTGCAGGGGTTTTTTTTGGCTAAGTCCACACACAAATCTTTTTTATGCACACACAAATTCTTTTTACACATCCAAAAATTTTTTACACACACACAAATCTTTTTTACACATACAAAACTGATTTACAAGTACAAAATATTTATGATCACATTTTGAACCCATATAAACCATGCCAGCATTTCATAGCGAATCATTGGAAAAATTTAAGATGAAGAACATGTATTTCATTTCCTGTTTTTCAACATAAAGAACCATCATAGCATTCAAGTTTGTCCTTGGAAGCATTATAATGCAATACTGTTTTGCAGTTTATGTTATCAGTTGATGATTAATAACCGAGACACAATGGAAGCGAAGCTAAAGTGGCTTGGAGTGATGCAGTCATTAATATTTATATCTATAGCTAAATACAAACCCATCCCAAGTGCATTTGATACATTGTGTGTTCAGCTCATATTGTTCTGCTCCAGTCAGTGAATTTCTGGTTAAGTCTCATTTCCATTTTTTTTTTTTTTTTAGCTCTGCTGTGGTTGCCAAATCTGTTGTGACCGGCTATTCAGTTTTATTTATGTAGCACCAGTTCACAAACCAGCCATCTCAAAGCACTTTATATTGCGGAGTAAAGACCCTATAATATTACAGCAGCTGGAATCCAAACAATCAGATGATCCCCTATGATCAAGCATGATTGAGGGTTTGAGGAACTACCTTTCAACAGGAAGTGTCCTCTGGCAGGACCAATGTCAGCAATGGGCAGCCATTTGCTTCAACTGCCCGGGGTCTGAAGGGAAGAGTACCAGAAAAGACAGGCATACGTTTCAGTAGTTTATTATACACATTTTTACCAACAACATCAAACCATATGCAAGCACATCTAGATATTTGATCAAGCGTTGTTGATGAGAGATAGCAAGGAAACTCTATTGATATAGAACCAGCATTTCATAGCAAAAGAATGAAAGAAAGGGTACGTGGCAAAAAAGAGCATATTTAAACTGAAGGACATGCATTTCATTGCCTCTTTTTCAACTTAAACAGACAGCATAGCATTCAGGTTTGTCCTTGGAAGGCATTATAGCGCAATGTTGTTCTGATGTTTATGTTATCAGTTGATGATTAATAACCGAGACACAATGGAAACAAAACGTAAACAGCTTAGAGTGATGCAGTCATTAATATTTATATGTATAGCTAAATACAAACCCATCCCATGTGCCTTTGATGTATTCAGGTTTGTTTGAACATTTTTTTGTTTGCTTAAATAATAACAATATGAGTGATGCTTCAGGGTCATCTGTCATGGGCCTTGGTTGACATTTAATTTCTGAATGTTATACAGTTATTTACGCATGTGATAAGTGACAGATTACCTGCTCTTAGGTGAAGGACCTGGCGAGGTTTAAGCCTATGCAAAGGCATCTGTTTCTGTATGACAAGATGCTGCTGTTCTGTAAGAAACGAGAGGAGACCACCGATGGACATGAAAAGACCCCGTCCTACAGCTTCAAACACTCACTCAAGGTCAGATAAAGATGGGGATGTGTGTGGGTTAAGTGTGCACAGCCTGCACTTTGTTTGGATGAATAAGCCTTTATTTGTCACCTGCAGTTGCCTGCAGCGAAATTGGACACATCAAACACCTTCTCATTTAAAGCTGATTAAAACGACATATTGGGATCTATTGAACTCTACTAGATTAGAGTTCAATAGGTCCCAATAGTTGTTATTTATCCACTACTGGGGCATTTTTATTTATTTATTCATTTATTTATTTATTGAAGAACATCAACTAATTTGTCTTCAATAGTTCCTTTTAAGTATTGCAGATAAAGATGATGCTTAATTTTAAAAAGTACCAGATAATGCACATAATTATGCAAATAATAATTAAAAACTGTTTTATAAAACAGACAAAAACCAAACAGAGTTAATTAATGAGAACGTTTCAGAACCACTAGGATAGAGTAACCCTATTAATACCATTAAAATACATCATTTTGGACTTAATGATGGTTATTTGAAGCTATTCTACTGTTTTTTAAGGGAGCAAACCTTTTAACTGAATATTGCTAAATAGCCAGTGGCATCCACTAGTTGTTGTATAGACTTGTTGCCTGTGAAGTCCTGTAGATAGTAGAAAGGACGTCTAAGCCTCAAAGTCTGTAATAGTTTAATTTATCTAAAGATATAAGATTAAATCAGCTAAATGCATTTGTCTTATTGTGGGTGAAGAAGGGTCAGCAGTTAAGCTCATGATTACCACTATTATTATTATACCCCTACTTGTTATTATGATAAATTCACAGTTGGTATTTAAATAGGAATCTCAAAGCTTATTCACATTACTTTATGACATGGCAATATTTTGGGAATACTGCTTGCCTGAGACGTTTAATGGCTTTAGTTTATGACTCTGGTTTGTTAATGTCCTGGAAAATAATTATCACCTTAAGTGACTGTTATACTTTGGGAGCGTTGTGCCGAATAACATATAAAATGTGTATTTATTGTGTGACTGCTAATGAAAGAGTTTTTTCAGTGCATCACTTGACAGAGTTCATCTCTAACATACTGAATCTCAGTGTCTGCGTCCTGTTTCTGTTCAGATGAGTTCTGTGGGGATCACAGAGAATGTCAAAGGCGACAGCAAAAAGTTTGAGGTTTGGTACAACGGCAGAGAGGAAGTTTATATCATCCAGGTATGTTGATGTAACCTTTCCTTTCTGCTTTATGTTCAGATTCATTCAGCTTACCCTTTCCTCTGAAACTGCGATGGTACCCAGCTCACTTTATTTATTTGGAGCAGTACTACATTTCTACCTTTTTATTTCTGATTTTACTAAAAACATCTACTTCTGGTCTCTTGTCACATTTCTTTTGTTTATTAGCTATTCGGTCAACAGGAGCCTTCAAAATTCAGTCCTCTTAAACTGTACTAGGCCATTTTTTTAGTTAAAAAAACCCAACATTTTTTGGTTTCTTCTGCTTCCTGAAACCATTAATTATGTCACAACCTAAACAGTTTCTTGGCAGCTGGTTGCGGGACTTTTTTCTAAGCTTGGAAGTTACTTTCATGTACCGGCTGTAGCTCAACAGCCGCAACACCAGCATTATACATTTAAAAACCAGCAATAACATAGTAATGTACAAAAATGAGCAAATAATTCAATAACAGGTGGCATTTTGTAGATAATACAAATGACGGAGGAGGCTAGGGTATTTATGAAACTGCTAAATATGCTTGTGACTGCTTTTTAGAAGTCTGTACATTCATCCATATAAGAACTGGAAAATTATATCCTTATGGCAATGAATTCATATAAAGCATAATGTGTCTATTTTATTGCTTAATGTGACCCCCTGATGTAATTTCAGTGAAATATTCTTCCTGGAAGAAATCCATGATACACAAGGGGTGCTCTTGGGGGCAGTGTTGCACCACACACCTCTCCAATCAGTTTCTCACTCAGCATTAATGTTAAGATGCTTTTGTTGTGTATATGTGCTTGATTTATGTTTGTGTGTGTGTATGTATTTATTCCTCCCTAGGCTCCCTCCATGGATGTGAAAAATATGTGGGTGTCAGAGATTCGGAAAGTTCTTACAGGCCAGCTGGAAGCATGCAGAGGTATGTACACACACACACACACACACACACACACACACACACACACACACACACACACACACACACACACCTTTTCATCTGAGAATATTTCTGTTCGTCTGTGTTACCTCATCTTTCACAGGATCACACTTCAGTCCCAGCAGGTGACAGATGAAGTTTCCTCTCTGCTCGAATAATTTCACCTGTTAGCATCTATTAGATTAGTTAAATCCTAACGTTTTGGTTTTTGCATGAAAACGTTTACACTCACTCACACTTTTTTAACGTCTTCATGGTACCTCGTGCATTGATGCACACATTCTAACGAATGAATGAAACTCAGACCTTGAATATATTTATTAGAACTTAAATATATAAAATGAAACTTGTATATAA